TGATGTTATGGACTTCATGACTTTGGCTTCTGGCCAACGAGAATAGTAATCGATGAGTGTGACTACGTATTCACCAGATGGGAAGGGTCCACAGACGTCTATGGCTAAAGACGACCATCTTTCACTGGGGAGCTCTGTAGGCTTGACCGGTTCCGGACGAGAGGGACTACCCGTGACTTGGCATGCGTGACATTTGTTGATGTGTTCTTCCACTTCCGCATCCATTTTTGGCCACCACAGCTTGGAGCGAAGGCGTTGTTTTGTGCGTGTTATTCCAGCGTGGTCTTCATGGGCTAGGAGGATTGCTTGTTTTCGGAGGCTCCTGGGAAGTACAATTCGATTTCCACGAAATAGTACCCATTTGTAGCGGATAACTCGTCCGATATGTTTTGGAATGGTTTGGGTAGTAGCTGGAGTTGGTTGGTTGCCAATGCCTGGTTGATTCGGCATATTTCTTGGTCCTCTAGGGAAACTTGTCTAATTTCTTCTGTGTCCATAGCACATGGTGTCATTTGTTGCAGCAGGTTGCAGACATATCGGTCAGCGCATGATTCCATATTACTGCGTGTTGTAGTTGGTAGTGGGAGTCTTGACAATGGATCCGCCAGGTTTGTCACTCCTGGTAGATAAACGACTGTAAAATCGTATTCTTGAAGGCGTAGAATCCAGCGTTCAATTCTAGCTGGGGGTGGTTTGCCAGTGGGATGGACTTTGGGTTGGAATAGATACTCTAAAGGTCGATGATCAGTCTCTAATTCGAACGTTCGTCCATATAAATAGGTGTGAAAATGCTCGCAACCAAAAACTATTGCGAGAGCTTCGCGCTCGATTTGGGCATATTTCATTTCTGTGTCGGTTAGTGATCTGCTGGCGTAAGCTACTGGGTGGTAAGACATGTCAGACTGTTGCTGGAGGAGTACTGCTCCAACAGCCCAAGGCGATGCATCAGTTACTACTCGGGTAGGTGATGCTAGATTGTAATGGGCCAGAACGGGAGAGCTGCTGAGTGATGTCTTCAACTTGTCGAAGGCGTTCTGATGATGTTTAGTCCACTGAAACTGGGAATTTGCTTTTGTTAGCTGACGTAGGGGGTACGTTATACTGCTGTAGTTGTCGATGTAACGACGTCTTGGCGTCGTCTGGTTGTATGCCTTTGCTTGATACGATGTGTCCAAAAACATTAATTTGTGGGACAGCGAACGAACATTTTTCTTTACGTAGGGTGAGGCCACTTGTTTCAAGGGTTGTTAACAGGTTGTCGAGATCTTTCAAGTGTTGGGTCTCGTTTTCAGACCATAGCCAGATATTATCAGATATACTTGCACAGTTCGGTACGTCTCTAATGATATTGTGTATTTCCTCGTGAAAATATTCCCCGGATAGACACGCTCCCATGATTAGCCTTTTAAACCGATGTGGTCCATTGTCTGGGGTTGGGAAGGCTGTGATATACCGGGATTCAGGGGCCAATGGAATTTGCAAATATCCCTGAGAAAGGTCGACTTCGGTGAAGACCTTTGCTCCTTGCATTTTATTTAGAATATCATCAACTGTCGGCATTTGTACACGTCGTCGTTTTAAAGCTTGATTTGGGACTCGCATGTCCAAAACTAGACGAACATCGCCTGATTTTTTTGGAACTGCAATGAGCGGTGAAAGCCACGGCGTTGCACCTTGTGCTTTCTCGATAATGTCCTGCTCAAGCATTTCTTTAAGCTTCTCATTCACTTTCGATTTCATGCTATGGGGTATTCTCCGCGCACGCTGAGCTACTGGAACAACCGTTTCATCGATTTCTAACTTTACTTCTTTGCCTTTGAGCTTTCCGATGCCTTGGAACAATGATTTGTGATTGCTGAGGATTTGTTGTATCTTTGGTCGGGGTGTTGAGCATTTAAGTTGTTAACAAATGTTTTCAATAGTCCGAGAATAGTTGATGTATTATGGCTCAGTAAACATTTCGTTGATCCCCTGATGACTTGAAATGTTGCCGTCACTGACGTTGAATCATGGACTATGGTAGCCGTGAATTGCCCTATGACTGGCAGTGGTTTGTTTGTGCCGTATGGGTAAATTTTAGCACTTGATTTCACCAGTTTTACGTTGCGATGTTGCTTGAAAACTTCAAATGTTCCTTCATTGATGATATTTACAGTTGATCTTGAGTCGATAAGGACACGAATAGGAATATTAGCGATGGAAACTGTGACTTGTGGCTGCTTCTTGTCATAAACGTTAAATGTGAATTCATCGTCCGTGTCGCTTGTTTCCAGAAATGGATCCGAAACGATGTTATTTGCCTGGTTCTTGTTTACTTTGTTTCTCGTTGCTGGCTGTGACTTAGAGAGGCAGTGTTTCGCAAAATGTCCGATTTTGCCACATTTATGGCATTCCTTTCCGTGAGCGGGACAGCTTGTTTTGCCGTTACGATGGGGATACGCTCCTCCACAATTTCTGCATGTTTGTTTACTCTTGTTCCCGTTGTGAAATTCCATGTTATGTCGATTTCCTCGGTCGTTTTGTCGTTGTCTGTTTCTTTTGTTGATTTGATTTGCGACATCATTTTGTGGCTGTTCATTTTTCTCTAACTTCTGAGCAACGACATCTGATTGCTCCAAAGTTTTTGCGTATTTGATAGTATCCTTCAAGCTGAGTTGTTCGCGAAGGGCTTTGCAACGCAAACGGCTATCGGTCGTTTTGTGTATGATTTGCGTTTTTATCTCATTATCTTCGTCATGGAATGCACACAAACTTGACTTTTCTTTCAGCCTACGGTAGAATTCGTCGATGGATTCGCCACTTTGCTGCGTTATTTGCCGGCAATCAAATATAGCCATGTTTTGTTTTCGGTTGGCGCAAAATGTTCAGTTAGGCGTTGGATTGCCGTGTCATAATCCTCTCCTGTATTCGGTAATATGTCGAAAATATCGTTGGCATCTTCACCAATATACGTAAGAAGTAGAGCTCGCTTAACATTTGGGTCTTCCTCTCGAAGACTAACCAGAAGATTGTAAAATCTTCGCTACCATTTCGCCATCTAGTACTGAGTGTTGCTTGATCGCCATGTGGATCGAACGGTGGAAATGGTGGTAGACCACTTCTCGGGACGTTTATTGTTGTTGCCGGTGTATTTTCACTCGTCGCCTTTGTAATGTTTGCTTATTTTTATTTCTTTATTCAACCGAATATGATACAATTATGTTATACTCGCACTTTTCTATTGTTCTTCTCTCGAAGTCCCCTAATTAAGATAATGTCAATCATGTCTATAAATAACTATATTACACCGTAAAAATATATTTATTATATGAACACGATTGTTATATATTGAGAGTTTCACGCCACTGAGAAAAATCGTGTTTAAACACACGTAAAAATACGATATTTCTACGTGTAAAAATATCATTTTCGCAAGCTTATGAACATGTTTGACCAATTAAAAAAATCTTTGTAGCTCACAGTTTCCGTTCGTTTTTTATCTCATACCATATTTATACACAGTATATGTACACGGTTCAAGAGACTAAAACTATAAGCGCATTTTATTGAACATTGTTATTTTAAATGTGTGCCCTTCAATACATAAAAAATTATTTCATTTTGAGTTACTAAGAGTTGTCGTTTAAGCATCATGGGTGGATCCAGCACTAGTGCACTAATTTGGATAACACAAGAAAACTGCTCAAAATAGCCATTTTGTTTTGTAATGCAAATTAGTGCACTAGGGCTGGATCCACCCCTGTTAAGCATAATTTGCAGTTATAATAAACAGAATAGTACATGGTGGCTTGGAAAAATAGATTTATTTATCGTATTGAATATTGCTCAATTAAGAGAATATTGCTCACACTCGTAAGCAATATTGTCTCAACACTCGAAATAAATTCCATATTTCTGCGCAACCATATAATCTTCTTTATTTAATACATATGAAGTCTGGATAATATCGCTGCTAAGTTAGCTAGTTAAAAACACTTCCGGCCGTAATACAAAAATATACCAAGTTATGTTTGCTAATTTTCAGGCTATATTTTCAACATTTATAACATTTCACAGCCAAACTTGGTATTTACTAATTTGAATATTCCGATTCCGAAAAATTTCCACTTCATCGCCTAGATAAAAAAAGCTATAGCCCAAGGTCCATTAACAATTATACTGCGATGATGCTCATATACAATTTGAAATAATAGTATACTCGCGATGTTTGAATTCATTCGTACTATTAGACCTAATCCCGAATTATACTAGACATCGCATAGCTCGTTACCTACACAAATTCACCGCTGTTTTTCCAAGTTCCAACTTAAAACTTTTGTGCTACTCAGCATAGCCCCTTGTCCACTTAGCTATTTAAGTTAATCCAACATTATACACGTATTTTCCCTTTTATATAATTATAGGAATTGAATTTCTGAAATCCATCATGCTTAAAAATTTTAAAGAAGCTCAAGTCTGTGTATGTCCTGTGGATTGGCAAATCTATCTTAAAGGGCATACTTCTTCGAGATTGCAATTGAAACGAGATGAAACGATTGTTGTTACTGACGATATTATGAAGTTGGAAAACCTAGCGCTACAACCGTTAGACTTCAGAGTTAACTACGTTCAAGATTTTGTTAAACGCCTCCTCAGCTCTTGGTCGGGAAGTGAAGCCTCCGAATTGAATTTAAACATCGGTCTTTACAAGTATGGCATCGATTCAATTGTTGCAACAAATATGAGACTTCAAATTAAAAACAGCATTGGTGCCACGTTTGAGGTACGTTTGTAATATTTATAAGTCAGCAAGATCTCGTGCATTGCCAAGTTCATCTGATGATGACTGCACTTATCCGGTACAGATTTGTATTTATAAAGATTTCAATTTTTCTTGACATTTAGACGTACTATTTTATTCAACCAAATGTGAGCGGCCTAACAATCGTCAATGATATTCTGGAACAAATCGAGAACATCAACACCACGAGTGTGAAGGGTGAATCTTCAAAAAAGCTAACCAAAGCAGAACAAATAGTTTGCCTGTTGACAGAGAGAAGGGCGCTTCTGCAGATAAAAATGTTCTCTTATCTAATGTTTTCCCCGTTTACAACGCTGAGAATGAAGAAAGTGAAGATGGAGTTGAATTGCAATCCGTTGACAACCCCGAGAAAGTAATTCCTCTCTATACATCAGAAAGTGTGTTTGTGAAAGTGTTCATGGTTCATGGTAGCCCCAAATCAGCCCTTGCTTTGGCATCATTTGCACAAGGTTTCCAAAAACAGGTGAAAACTTGTTGTTTTAACATAAAATATACACACAGGAAGAGCACAAGAAGAACTTTCAAAACGAGGACAGATCGCACTTTCTCTTTTTTCCGCGCTACTCAATCGCCTTAAAGATCGTTTGACAAATAAGGCGTGAGACTAGGTGTGGCAATGCTCTTGTTTATCGAGAGAGACATATGATATTCATACACTTTGTTGTACAAGAGAGCTGATTTAATTTTCTTCTATTCCATGCTTCCAGAGGTTATCATTTGTTCAACTTTCTGTTACAGGCCAAGATTGCATTGTATGGTATTGGAGTAGATGACACGTCGATTGAGAAGAGTGACTATGGAACAGTGCTGACACTCGCCCGAAGATATGTAGATTTAATCAGAAAAATACAGCCAAGCGGTCCATTTTATCTTGGTATGGATATTTATATTAAGCATTGTAGCAAAACAAATAACAAAAGACTTTTTGTAATTCAGTGTTGGGTTCTCAACTGTCATGCATGCTAGACGCCTTATCATAAACAATATAGGGAGATTTAGATTTACGGCTACGAGATTCACCATCGTCGAGCAAAACGCACATTTTTTGGATATGCTGCCTGGTACCATTCTGATAATTAAACCTCGCCACCAACCATAATAAAAGCGTGTTTATACTGTTAAGTTTTCCGTAAATAATTAGACTTTTCGTTTTGAAAAATAAATTTAAAATTACGGTGATGAAAACAGTTTTCTCTGACCCCCCAAGAAATATCAATATTTTTACACTGAAATGCCGTAGTCAGTCAGTAAGAAGAAGGCTTTAGCAGTGACTACGAGTACGACTACGGGTCGCAGCGTAACACCTGATACACTCCCTGTCAACGGTACTCCACGCAGAAGAAAAGGTGTTTGAAAGACGGAAAATGTTAACATTTTAAAGTTGACTCTATCGATCACCATCTTTGCACCTTAATTTTAAAAATAAACGGTAAAGGAATATTGTTTGGTTAAAAAATATATGCGTTATCGTCTACCACACTAAAAATCACGAGGCATCCTTTTTTTAAAAAAAAGCAAACTAAAATATCTCCTAAATCGATCCTGAATCCAAAAAATATATAATTAACGCGAGGATTAAACGAAAAGTTTTATTAGTTAGGGTTTTTCTCCGAGCAAATGAAAGGATCCATTGGTTATTTTATTGTTTCATTGTTCCATTGTATTGTCCTCTATAATTTATGAATATATGTAAAACGTAGGCGTCGCTTTTCTTAGCAAACTAAAATTCTCATTCCCCTTATTTTGGGAAAAGATAACTAACAAAGTTATGAAGCAATCTTGATAAAATTTTCATCGTGAACCTGAAAGCAAATAATAATAAAAGACTTCCTATAATTCTATGTTGGGTTCTCAACTGTCATACAAGACGTCCTTTCATAAACAATATAGGGAGATTTAGACTTGGCTACGGCTCCGAGATTCACCATCGTCGGGCAAAACGAACATGTTTTTAGCTACGCTACCTGGAACTGTTCTGATAATCGAACCTCGCCACCAATGGACCAATTGCGTAATAGACCAACTTATTATCTAGGCATTCAGGAAGAAATAAACCACCACAGCTAAAAAGAGCATACCAAAGATAGTATAATTGCCAGGTTTGGTTGCAAAATGTCAACTAGTACGGAAAATATAGCAACGCGAATTTGGCAATTTTGTATACTTTTTTACTACGGCCGGAAGCGTGTAATTAATTTAATTACACACGTCCGCCCGTAAGTTAAAGGTATACAAAATTGCCAAATTCGCATGGCTATATTTTCCGCGCCTTACAATATTTCGCAGCCAAACTTGGCAATTTTACTAATTTTGGTATGTACTGTTCGGAAATTTTCTTTTTGTCCATTATAATAAAAGCGTGTTTAAAGCGTGTTACGTTTTTCGGAAATAATTAGACTTTTCATTTCGAAGAATTAATTACGGTCATCAAAACAGTTCTCTCAGCTTTTTTTCTAAAAAAAACTCCAAGAAATATCAAGTCGTGTGGCTTTTTAAATCACGTAGTGAAGGCAAAATAGTTTTAAAAATGCCGTAGTCTGTCAGAAGGGGGCTTTAGCAGTCACTACGAGTACGAGTACGAGTCGCAACGGAACACTTTGAATATAATTAAAAATATCTCCCTAATCGATCCTGAATATTTTCTCTCCAAAAAATATATAAAGAACGCGAGAATTAAACGAAAAGTTTTATTACTTAAGGTTTACGAGAAAAAAGTAGCCATTGTGCTATTGTATTGTTCTCTATAATTTATGAATATATGCAAAACGTAGGCGTCATTCAGTCTAAATAGAATAACGACTGTTTATTTTATAGATAGATCGTAGACGTTTTAGAAATTATTGAAATTATCGAGTCGCAAACCATATTAGATATTACTAGGATATAACTAGGATATTATGTTTTTAGCTGGCTACTCCTTTGGTGGCATGGTGGCTTACGAAATGGCGAGTGAACTAAAAAGAAATAATGAAACTGTCGCAATGGTGTGCATGGTGGATACGTACGGATGGCACCCTAAAGCTTTGGCAAACTCCAACGAATTCGTGAGAAAATTTGCCGAGCATAAGTTGAAGTTGACTGAAAAATATGTGGTAAAATGCGATCATTCATATTGTTTATATTCACTTTTGCTATACATTACTAATTTTTTCTTGAGTCGACCGGCTGCAAAAACGAGTATGTGAGAATGTGCTATATACCACAATTATAGCGGCCTTCAGCAACAAATAAACGGGATTTTCCATTTGTCGAATTTGAAATTGTGGAGATATAGCTTTTATTGTCAAGGTATCCAAATTGTATACACCAAAAAAATTGGTGTATACAATTTGGATACCTTGACAATAAAAGCTATATAAACAATTTAAAATCGGTTACCTATTTATTGGACCAACTTTTTACTGGTTCAAAAAAAACTTTGAATAAAACAACCACATTTTTTATTGGATTTCAAATTTGATTTCTAGACAAGAAAACTAATCGAAAAAATGGCCTTCGCTGAACTGGGTATAAATAAAGATACCCTCAATAATTTCTATGGAGAATTACAAGACGACGTGAAAGTCATTGCGGCGTTAGAGAATCAAGCTGCCGAAGAAAACCTTGTGTTTCCTTTGAAAGAAAAAGCAGAAAAACTTCAGTATGAACTCAGATCTGCCGCTGAGACTCACTTGGATTGGCAACCTTCCAAGGTAAATGTTTTACTTTATCTTAAGATCTTTTCACTTTTTTAGTTACATAAAAACATCAAGAAATTGAAATGTTAATAGAATATGGGAACTTGATTAAAACCAGATAATAGAATTTTCATTAGCGCCCCTCTTAGCCAATGAAATTGCAGTTTTCCCCAAGATTACAGACGATATATAAATACTGGATTAATTTTACTCCTCTTGGCTCCTCTCTACGCTAATAATGAGCAAGGTAATCGTTCCTGAGGCTACGGAGGCAAGGTTAAATGTATTTTTCTTCGCGGATCCTAATTTATTTGGCGCTCATATGGATAGAAAATTGCGACAAAGCTGAGTTTTTATTTCAAGTTAGACCCAAAATTTAATATCATCGAGTTTGTTCGAGTACATTGCAAAATACGAAGCGTAAGCGTAAGCATGTTAAATTTCAACATCTTGAAGTTTAACAAAATTACAAATTGAGTAATTTGCATCTACATTTTATAAAAATATAATTTTTAGCTCACATATTGGGCCAAGCTGCGTAAGTTATACATTCGCGCAAGTTATACCGCGTAAGATTTTTGCACGATGATTTGTGTTGAGTCTGGCAATTTCATGTGTTAAAAGTCCATGTATGTTTTTTTTCTTATTATTTTAAAGATATGCTACGAAGGGACATTAACATACATAAGCTGTGATGAAACAAACTCATTCTCTCTCTCCACACCAGCGATATGGGGAACGTTAGTTGAGAGAATGGATTTGCTCTACGTTTCTGGACGTCATCTAGAGCTAAGCGAGGAGACTCGCGCGGAAATTTGTGGATTCATCATGATGACTACAGCAGCAATGAACTATCTGTCAAAATTTTCATACAATAAATTCCAGGCAGTAAGATCAAAGCGTCAAGAACGATTGGTGGAATTTCTAAAGCAAGGAGTAGAAATCTGGATGCTGCAAGTCAATCTGGTACATCTATAGGTTCGTTAGAATGGATAAAAGGCACTCTCTTGTTGAATTGCGAAGAAACCGTATTTAGTTTTCAATATAAATCGTTTGGATTTCACAAAATGCGAAATATTGCAATGAGAGGTAAGTCTTAGCCTCGAAATGAACACATATACACATTTTTCTTGTTGTCGGAGCCAGCAAATGAGAGAGCTTGGTGCCTTGAAAATAGCTAAAAAAGCAATATCTTATATCAATGACATTTCGACTTGATATAACTTGCGCCAGTGAAGCCCGGTAAGTCATTTTCACTGATGAGAAATAATCTCGATGGCCATTTGTCATTTTTTTCCGTATTTAATTCGGACATATATTGTCGACAGGAAACACGTAGAAATACAATATCCATCAACCACCTGGGGCTGGTTGTATAAAACTCGTAACTACATTTTGCGTAGTTAAATCGTAGTTAACTCAGAAATACATGACTCTGATTGGTCAATTCTGTCACTAACTATAGTTAAAAGTTAACTACGTTTTTATACAACCGGCCCCTGGACCTATACTGCGATTGAATTAACAGTCTTAATTGAATTAAACAGTCTGAAACAGTATTAATTAATTGCTCAATGATATTTTAAGACGAAATTGTTGCAATTGGAATATATATTATTATGTATTGTTTTTAGAATTTCAATTTTTCGCTGCGCATACATTTACGCAATAACAGCTCAAATAAGTTCGCTGATTCAATAGAAAATTAAATAATTGGAGGGCTAGACTGGTGGCAGCCATTGGGATTTTTTGGGCAGGAAAATTACAGAGATTTGGGGGAGCGTTAGGATGGCGGTTGGTCGCTGTCTAGTCGCTTGCGACCATTCATGCACGATGATTGAAGGCTGTAGTACTTACTATGATGATACTGTAGCTTGTCTAATTTCCGCCATCTTCGGCTTCGCATATTTGCTACGACAAATGACGGAATTTCCTACTCCAAGCTCACTGGAAACTCTACCGGATGTTTACATCCTGAAGTTTTTACATGTCACGTGTTTTAGTCGAATATTTAAATCAGTTCTCGATCACAATGAAATGGGCAACCCTGGGTGTGGGTTGGGTTTGTCATTGAATTGGCTTTAGTTGATTTGCTGCCAGTGATCTCTAAAAAGACTTCAACGAAGGGCAACAGTTGAAATTACAGCACCGGCAAAACAACGCCGGTTTTTATACACAAGGCCATCTGCATGAGCAAGAGTAAAAGTCTAAAACAAGCGCAAGGACACCTCAGATTTTACTAAAAAAGGGTTTAATCATTTTTTGCCAGTTGGAGGCGATGTTGTTTTTTTTTGCTAAGTAAGCTATCGCCCAAAAAATAGATGCTCCTGTAAGCCCATGGGAGCAATGCTAATGTCTCTCTAGGCCAAAACCGCAAATATTCACGTTACCCGTATTTTTTCACAGTTTTCAGCAAGGGAAAACAATTTACCACTATTTTTATCTATGGACTTTTCATGGTAAATTGCCGATTAATATATCACTCTCTCTCTGATACAATATATATTTCTAATATGGTACTGGGTTTATTTAAAGATTGATGGTTTCGCGCAAAAACCACGCAAATAAAGATCACGTGATTGATATTTAGGTATCATAGGACAAAAATATATTTTACTTTTTAGATTTGACAAACATCATTCCTGGAAGGCATGTTCATGTAATTCAGAAACACCATGGAAAAAAATCATACGTTGATTTGCTGACATGTATGCTGACCAAAAAAGGCCGGCTTCAGACGTTCCGATCCATGGACTGGCAGCGCCTCAAACTACTAGTGGATTGTTTAGAAGCACTTTTTGGGATACCGTTCATGCACTGATGGGTAATGGTTACACAGTCACTTTATGGACAATATTTAATCATATTACAATTATCACAATTATTATCATACCTATAGAATGCATATATAGTGGGTTTAAGACTTAGGTGGATTTTAATGGTAGTTCAGGAAATAAACCAAACCTAATTTTTTGTAAACAATAAATTTCAAATGATCATCTTTGTATAAATATATTTTTAAATATATTGTTAAAACATGTTGAGTTTACTTCACTTATTTTTAAATTAATATGATTTTTATAATAATCTTTACTGCTATTTCATATAATAAATAAAGATCACTTCATTGTTGGCTTGTTTGTATGATTTTTATTATGCACGAGTTATTGTGAATGATTGCAAAACGAGCAAGTTAGGGTAGCTTTGCGATCCTTTACAGCGAGATTAAATCTATAGAGATCAGTTTGTCACTGAACGACCGAATGACACGCTTTAATATACAAAAACAGAGCGAGAAACAAAAATCGAAATTTTATGCATCAAAACATATTTTTTACCGTTCAGTTTCTTTGTAGTTTTGTTCAATAGAAGTCAGATATTCTTTTCTTACGATTTCAAAATGTGCTGAAAATGTCAGTTGCATTTGAGAATTATGTTTTGAATCTCACTCCTATATTTTGACGCCATCATGAAAAAAATGTAAACAAATTGCCGCCAAAATGACCTATACTAATTTTTCACACGAAAAAAACGTACGTCCAATCAAATTGCATGAAGTTAATTTAGCTAGTGAAATACGAATTTTTTCATCATTTCTCACGAGAAATTATTAGATTTGCCCAAATTCTTATTTGGAATTTGCAACCATTGCGTATTTATCTTTACAACCCAATAAATTGGCAAGAATCGGTTAAAATCGTTTTTCATAATTTAGCAAACGAAAATTAGTTAGTCCACATGGATTGAATAATTATATATCAATAAAAATAGTTGAACGACAAGATTTAAGCATAATTATTAAATGTACGCCAGATCATCATGTATCGATTATTATTGTTTTTATTATTGGAATAACGCCTTTTCGAGCGGTTTGTTATAATTATTACTTATATAAATGTACACTTCCGCAATTTTCTATTTTTTGCCATCAAAAATATCTAAATGTGCCTGGATTGCCGCTTTGAATATCACTAAAAGCATGCCGGCTAGCACTGATATTACTTTGTATAACCTGACGGACTGGATAAAATCAGAGACATGTTCAAATGAGAGGTTTTACTATAATATCTATATAGGCTTTTTTTAATTTTTGTATGAACAATAAGTAGCTATATTAAGGCATATCGAAGATAAAACATAACAAAAGGCGGCAACGAGGCATTAAGTATTTCTTATGTATTTCCACCAAATTGGCAGTAAATTGGAACATACATTCGCATATTAATTTTACTGAAGAAATGAAGTACCAGATAAGTCTCAACTTTGTTGCATTGGGCCAATTTATTGCAAATTTATCCAGTGAAACCGGGTGAAAGATTAGAGAACTGAGATTACCACGGACTTTTAATCAAATTAACTATAATAAATCATACTAACCCTTAAAAAAGTAAATGTGGTTGGAACGCGGAAGAGAATTTTTTGCCAATTTAAATTAAAGCATTGACGACATACCAAGGAAGCAAGGGCTTTAAGCAACAGGAAGAGCTAAAAGGTTGTGGTTGGTGATTTTGAGGGACACCATGCATATCTGGTCGTTTTGCAAGGCCGCGAAGCCACTGAAGTAAAGTCGAAATTATATGAGAACACAGAAGTGAGATATAAAAATGCTTTATTCCTCATAAGGCATAAAGCTCGCAAAATACAGCTAGTTTACAGTAATAACCATATAAGGAAAAAAAGTATCCCCCATCTTACGCAGTCTTCGTCAGTTCGAACCAGCAAGGCCAATACGATGAGCATGCATCAATAAAAACAAAAACAAGAACATGTACATCATTCAACGATGAAACGTGTACAGAATTCAGAAACAGTCTACTGAGCGTGAACATTCAAAAACATGATCTAACGAACCCATTAAGGAGCGAGAGCATCAAGCCTAAAAGGATCGATGGCATTACCTATAAGGTTGAATCAAATAACTGTAATTCTACTCAAACATAAGGGAGGAGCTGGAGGGATTGTTATATCTTAGTTTTGAGTTCTCATATAATTTCCACTTTACTTCAGGCGCTTCGCACCCTTGCAAAATCTTCAAATATATATTTCAAACACAAAAGCTTCGATATAACAATGCTTGTTTAAAGCTATACAAGACTCCCAAACTCTGTTTTTAGAAGTTAGAACAACACTGCTCAAACAAGGATGAAGTGAATTAATTTTTCGTTCCCTACACCACTCTATTCCATTTGAGCCAGGCTGAGTGTATTGCATTTGTGCCTGGCCTCCAATTAAGATGTCAAGATGAGTTTGGTAGCCTTTTCTGAAATTCATGCTGCTGCGATTGACTGCTGGGACTGCTGGAGGGCCTATGATAAGGTTGGGAAAGATATCAACATGTCCAGAATTGTTGGATATTAGGCCTATGTCGGCCAAACTGGAGTAATTACCACCAGTCCCCGCCCTCCCCTCCTGAACTTTGTCTATTGTTTTCATAATTAGGCAAAAGGGTAGGAATGCATAATGTCTCCCTGGGGACCATGTTTGTTGAAAAGCATCTGATGCTAGACTCTGGTGTTCCGGTTTCAGAAAAAAGTTTGGAAGCTGGGTGTTTAGGTGATTCGCAAACAAATCTATCTGACAAGGACCCCGAAATTTTATTAGAGCACAGAAAATCTCGAGATTGATTCAGTTCCAGTCGCTGGGATCGTGGTAATACCTGGATTCCTGATCGGCCTGTGTGTTTCATATCCCTAGTAAATGTTCGGCATGCATTCTACAGTGCCCAATTACACAATTGAGCCATTAGGTTGGATAGAATTGGAGAGTGGGTCTCCCCAAGTTTGTTAATGAAACGGACACGTATATATATAGCTTGTTTTTCGTAAAACTTTTGACAGCAAAGGCCCCTGCCATAACAGTTCTAGACAGTTGATGTGCATGGCATAACCGTTCCGTTTGTGGCCATGCAAAGTCCCCCAATCCTTAATCCATTGCACACGGCTCCCCAGCCCTACATGGAAGCATCCGTTTCAACAATCAGATCGGGT